AGAGGAAATGCTTTCAGTTTTTCACCATTGAGTATGATGTTGGCTATAGATTTGTCATAAACGGCCTTTACTATGTTAAGATATGTTCCCTCTATACCCACTTTGTTGAGAATTTTTATCATAAATGGATGTTGACAAATTGATTTTGAATGGAGTAGTCAAAATCAGTATGCATGTGAATCCCATAGATAAGTATTATTGTACTCCCTACATACAAACTAAAATGCTGATTAAATTATGGCCACTATTTATTAAATTAAAGAAAAAAACAAAATTTCTAATCAACTTGGTATTTGTAAAAACTAATAATGCAATATACCTACGTATAAGTTTAATTGGTTGTATATTCAGCAATGCAGAGTGGAACTGAAAAATTGAAGAGAATGTCCTAGAAAAATTAAAAACTGTTTTATAGTGAGTGAAAAGAAAAACAGTATTAATTTTGCAGAAAATCATATCTATATTGTCATGGATGATCTTGAGATGCATCTAGAATATAGTGAAAGGTATCAGAGAACAAGATATATGGAAGACTGAATATGGGAAATAAAAAATAACAATAACTGATATCCTAGAAGTGAACAGAATGAGAATTCCAATATGATAATACTATTCCTATAATTCTAATAAAACTTTCTGAAATGGAAAAAGACCTGAATTTGAATATCAAAATGACCATGACTTATGAGGAAAAAAAAGAAGAGGAGTTAGATGAGATTAAAAAGTAAAGAACAAAAAATACAAGAATATAGAGAGAAAGTAAAGAACAAAAAATACAAGAATATAGAGAGAATAAGTATATTTTACATTGAAAAAACAAATCAGACTGTTGTTAGCTATTTGTTTCACAGTATTGAATGCCAGAATACCATGAGCAAAAATAACTGAAACAACTTAAGTACATACAAATAGACAATCAGACAAGTAAATTATTTTATATCAATGATAAAATAACTTGTGACAGTTAAAGTAATAATAAAACACTAGTATACTAATACAGACAATTGTGGAAAATGTCCATGAATTAATTTAAACTAAAGTGTTTCAATTGTATGTTTATTTCTCTCTGTGTTTCATTCTGTACATTTTATTCAGGTCTATATTCTTATTTTTAATTTCCTACAGCTGTGCCTAAGGTAGTGTTTGATCTATCTACTGAGATTCTAACTTCAATAATTTTGTTTTTCAATTGTAGAAGTTAATTTGGGTTATTCAAATGTTATACATTCAGACTTTGCTTTTTTGTTTGCTGAGTTTGCTTTGTTTGTAAATGAGCTAGTTCAAACACAAAAGGGTAGATATAAACAAGCTACAGAAGAAAAAGATAAGAACAACTGTGAAACAAAAAATCTAAAATATTGATGCTTTGCTTTAAATTGTTAAAAACAAAAATAGTCTTTAATATCATTTTTTCCACTTCTTTCATTTTACTAAGACTTTTGAGGCTTCAGAAAAATCAAATTTTATGACCAAGGCACATAGGTAATTAGTGACAGAAATTATATTAGAGCTTTGTTCTTTTGATTCTCAGTTTAGTTTTAATTCTTTCATAACTTCAGCAGGAGTGTTCAGAGCACTGTAATGTTTTAGGATGCTCAATGTACTTTGAATACGTGTAATAATACAATGTAAAATAGGACAGTGTTTGCGACTTCCCTGTGGTCCAGTGGTTAAGACTCTGTGCTTCCAATGCAGGGGGCCTGGGTTTGATCCCTGGTTGAGGAACTAGTATCCCACATGCTGTGTGGCATGGCAAAAAAAAAAAAAAAAAAAAAAAGGACAATGTTTCAGTGTTATCTAAATTTGACCTACTTAAACCTAGCATGCTAGCAAAAATAAGCATTCATTAAACACCCATTAATGTTTACTTTACAGCACTTACAGAAAAATTAAGATATGTGCTTTTTACAAAGCTAACTAGAGATGTCTAAATTCATAACTTTATTTATTTAAATATTTCCATTGCTCAGTGGAAAATATTTCCATAAATATTTCCATTGCTCAGTGGAAATATTTCCATAAATATTTCCATATTATTTAAATATTTCCATTGCTCAGTCAGAAAAGCTTGTAGGTATCCCATTGATGTATTTTTTAAAAACCCATTGAAGTTTTTAATAATGTTTTTTTCATATATATAACCCAATATTTAGTGCCTAGCCTGGCAGATATCAAGTCTTCAATACATATTGAATAAATGAATGATTTCTTGAAGAAAAGACAGAAAAAAAACTATTATTCATGCCTTGACAGTAATTAGATAAATGGACACCTCAGGAACACTTTTTCATCCTCAGTTTCTACATCTGTAAATGACATATTTGGACAATGTCATGGATCCCAAATAGTTTTTAATTTGTTCACTAATTCTGATTGAGAATAGTTTCATGGCACTGACTTTGTGATAATGAATATGCTGGTACGTCTAGGCTCAGCTAGGAAAAGCATCATGTTCAGTTAGTGACATGTATCATGTGCACAGGATAAGAGGTCATATATGAACCACACATTTTTCTACATATTAGGGGGCACATCAAAGACATTACTACCCATTTCATAAGTGGACCAATTGTTCTGTTTCAGAGGTCATTTCTAGCTCTGATCGTCAATAATTTGGGGGTCCTCTTATTCTCCTTTTCTCTTGTTCATTCTTTCTAATGTAACAACACATTGCTAGCTCCATTTCACCAAAATGTACTAATCTATAATAAACAATAACTTTTACACACTTTACTGGGAGTTTAAAAAATAGCTTAAGGGGTATGTGGAGGAAATAGATGGTCAGTTGGAGTACTTTATTTAGTTCACTGATTCTCAAAATTTTCCACCCCATAGTATAATACAAACAAAAGAGAATGAAATGCTTGAGGATCAAGTCTGTTTTTTGCTACAGATTCCTCAGCTATTCAGGGAAATTACATCTGACTATTACCTGAAAATAAAATCTTTGACTTTTTTTTTGCTTTTAGCTCCAAAAAACTAAATTATTTTATTATTCAAATGAGGCTCACTTCTACTGTTTTCAATATATTTTAAAATAAATTTGTAAATTCTAAAGAAAAGAAAAAAGAAAGAAATGGAAATTTGAACCTTAGTTCTTCATAGTATCTTAGAGCTGATGGAGACCTGTAAAGCATCATTTTATCAATGCATCCTCCCTGTCCTCATAACTGCTGTATTTCTCAGTACCTAGCCCAGTGCTGGGTGGGCATGCATTAGGTGCTCAAAGGGCAAATATAGCTATTGCTTGAATGAATGAATCAACCTGCTCTTGGTCATCTACAGGTGGTACTTCAGAGACAAGAGCACACTTTGGTTGGAAGGGGAGAGGGGAGCATGCCTCCTTATCCCTCTCCTGAAAGGCTCAATTAATACATGGATTGAAAGTTAACTCTTCCTTCAAAGTACAACTAAAATAACGCCTCCTTTTTGAAGTCTTCTTTAATACATCTGAGATGTAATAAATCATCATTTCTCTATGTTCCTGTAACAGTTATTTTTTCTTATTTCATCGTGACTGCTTTGTATTATAGGCAGTTATTTACAAACTCCTAATTCTAAATTTTAAATTAATTGAGGGCGATGATTGGGTCCTACTCATTTTGTTAAATCTTAGAAGAATAATAAGAAAATATTGTTTTTTAATTAATGAAGAGACTTGAAGTTCAGTGATGGTCCAGTTAGAGTCCCCTAAATTAGTCAGAGGTGGAGATGAATCAGGGAAGGAAAGTGGAGACTCTGAAGTAGGTAACTATAGCACCCAAACTGCCTTCCTTCCAAGAGACCTCTGAAGCAATTTCTTCATTCAAACTGGAGTAGCAAAGAAAGTCAACACATTTCACATTTTTTCTCTGAAAGGTTTTCACTTCAGGAAAGAAAATATGGGTTATTCCTACTCTGACTGATCTAACCAAAAAGAGATTTTGTTTGTTTGATTTTTAAAGTGTGTGGGAGTGATGCTTGGAATCATTAAATAAATACTGATTATGAATGCAAATTTAGAGATAGAGTGATTGAATATTAAAGCTAGGTTGGATTCTGGAGATGACCCAAGTCAATTGAGTGATTTTCTAAGTGGGAAACTTAATATCCAGAAAGATTTAGAGATTTGTCTGAGAACAGAAATAAACAGCCCTGAACATGTAAGAAACTGACATAAGCTCATCTGGGAAGTTTTCAAAGTTAAAGCAACTTTTCTAGAAATCATGGGCAAATTTATCAGCTTTTCCAAGATGAGAAATCATATTTCAAAAATTCCTAAGTCATGTATAAACACTCAGGAGATCAAGGAAAAAATAAGGCTTTATTTTGAAAATATCTCTGCAGCCTGAAAATGAGAATAGAAGCTTTTCCTCAGGCAAAGGGAAGATTTCTAACTCCTGGAGAGCTAATAAGAGCCTCAGAAGGCAATGACAATAGACATTCCAAATTCCGTGGAACTTGAAGTCCCCTCTAGCATTTGTGGACACTTAACTTATATTAAAAAATGTAATTCAGGGTTTCCTAAATTTTTATCTTTCCCTGCTTTCCTTTCTTCTATCTCCTCTACCTTATGATATTTATAAACATATGCTAAAGCATGCATTTCCAGTCTCTACTAGGTAAATATTTTTTCCACATTCTTAATTTAAAACATGGAAAAAACAACCACCTTTTCTTTTAAAAATTGTTAAATTAAGTTTCATTTGGCTTGCATATAACATTTGATTAATTTTTTTCTTTCTGTGTGTCAGAACATTTGTAGAAATGGAGGTTTTCCACCCTACGTTAAAAAGGCTTTTAAAACAGGACAAATGTAAGCTTAATTTCAAGTTGGCTGCGATTTCGGTAAACTCTTTCTTGTTTGTTTCATTTATAAGGACCATGTGAAAATTTGCTTAAAGGTGCAGGAAACTGGGTGTCAGGAGAAGCACTTGGTAGAGACAACCCAGTATTAAACTTAAACGATATGGATCAATTTTTTTCCTTTACAGTAAGAACTCTGCTTGGAAATTGCTTGCTATGACGTGGACTTTAAGACTTTGGATTCCATCTGAAGTACTTGATTGAAGAAATTAAGAATGATCTCAATACAAGACTTCTTTGCTTATAACTTGCTCCTTAAGTTAGGTAACACTTTATTCTCACAGTTTTGCACTACTTTTCAAGGACTGAACATTCCAGCCTCCAAGTGTTTGTCATCATTTGCACCCCCTTTTTCTAATTCTGATATATATCATGGTGAGATTGCACGCCAGTGGATCTGCTTTATCACACTTTAGGTGTAAAGATAGTCCTGAGAATTTTCCTAGTTGAATCTTAACTGTCAGTTAAATATTTTTATAACCTAAATTATGCAAAACCCAGATGTTCTTCAGACCTAAATATGGTTTATTACAGGTTTGTATTCCCTATTGGTGTTCATTGCTTCTGCCATAATTGCTTTCCCTGCTGGAGTTATGGGTTTGAATCATGGCCATAATACCTAGTTATTTACAGAAATGGAGATAAAGTAGGAGAGGCTGATCATTTCAAAAGAAGAAACAGTAATTAGGCTATAGAAAAGCTGGATTGTTTATTGAGAAATTTTTGTCCAAATAAGAACTCAAAAGTTATTTATCTTTAAATTTTTATTTATTCCCCTCCTATTAAAAAAAAAGCAGCAGCAACAACATAGCTCGGACACTAACTCTTCCTAGCTATGCACTGTTTTAATAATTTACTTCATACAGCTTTAATTCCTGTAGAGAACTCAGGACTGTGCAGTTATCATTGAATTAGCTTGTTTAATTTATAATAAAACAAACAGACTTAAGGCTGTTTACTTCTTCACAACTAAAAGGGAAAAAAAATGTCCTACAAAGTTCATCGTTCTGTGATTTATATTGATTTCTTCTTTTCCTTCTCTTGCAGTTTCCTTCCTGGTTCGTCTACTATAATACATCCCACATGGTCATGGTTTCAAATTGCACAATTATTTTATTGTAGTTTGAATCAAATTCAGGGTGAAAGTTATATAGACTTTTGATATTAGAAAATATGTAAATGAGATAGTATCATTCATATTATATATTGAGGCATTTCAGGAACAAAGAGGTCAAATACTTGGTTGAAAGTCAGTAAGTCAGTTATAGCATCTCTCATTACTCAATTAGCTTAGCCCAGTTTGAAAATGTAGTGCCATTTATGCATGTTCTCTTTGTTTGATGCACTTTCAGTTGGTTAGCACTCTCCAGGCCTTCTAATGTGGAGTTACTCTCCTTTCTTATTAGGTCTTCAACTTTCATATAGAAGTCAGATTCATACATTCATTCTAGGAGTAAATACTTTTTATTTGATAAATAATGTTGAACTGAGCTACATGCCAGGCATTCTGCCAGGTACTCAGGATTCAAAGATGAGCAAAACAAATTTGATCCGACCAAGAGTTGCCATCTGGTCATTTGTCTCTTTGTTTAATATCTGAATCCTCCATTAGACTGTAAGCTTCATGGGGTCAGATGTTTTTTTTGTGTACCGTTGTATGTCCTCTGGCCAGTAGAGTGGTGCTATAATATTAACTGAATGAAAGAGGAGAACAGTAGTACGAGTTTAAGTAAGACAATTTTGGCTGTGAAGAGGGGAGGGAAGAGGGAGAATTTGACACTCAAGGCACTGCTAGCATCAGTCTTGGCCGTGCTCTTCTGCCAAAGGGAGTGGAAAGGTCCAGGCAGAAGAAAGACAGAAACCCCCAGCAATGTGAAGGCCTGAGAGAACTGTCTCAGAAAAACATCCATTACCAAACAGGTAAGCAATAGTACAGGAAGATGGCTTATTTAGAGAGCAAAGATCATTTGGAAACAGGTAGGAGAAGAGAGAAGCAACCACAAACCCATTGTTGATGGGATCAGCTGGAACGCAGTTTTAAGTAAAGAAAAGCTCTGCTCGGCACATGTATTCCACATCCCAAAGGCATTAGTAAAAGTCTCTTATCCCATACTAAAAGATGAAATGTGCCTGTGTTAAAATGACCAAATTTAAAATTCTCCAATTGAAGTTCTATGAGAACTTTTTCCAAGGTTATACCCTAATGATTAAGCAATCTATAAAAATAATGGGTGTAAAGATGATTTGTGTGTGAGTGTGTGTGTATATAGCAAGTGTGGGCCATAATGGAATGACATTAAAATATTATGGTTCTTACATTGTATGCTTTTCCTTTTCCCTCATTCCCACCTGTATTAGAGTTCTCCAGAGAAACAGAATCAATAGGATCCAATGGGTGGATCTACATATCTATCAATTTATTTACTTATTTTAAGGAATTGGCTCATATGATTATGGAAGAATGTCAAGATCTGAAGCTGACAAGCTGAAGACTCAGGAGAGCCAATGGTCAACTTCCAGTCGGAAGGCAAGAGAAGAGCTGTGTTCCAGCTCAAAGACAGGTAAGTGCAGAGAGCTAATTCTTTCTCCCTTACTCTTTTTTTTTTTTTTAACGTCTTTATTGGAGTATAATTGCTTTACAATGGTGTGTTAGTTTCTGCTTTATAACAAAGTGAATCAGTTATACATACACATATGTTCCCATATCTCTTCCCTCTTGCGTCTCCCTCCCTCCCACCCTCCCTAGTCCACCCCTCTAGGTGGTCACAAACCACCGAGCTGATCTCCCTGTGCTATGCGGCTGCTTCCCACTAGCTATCTATTTTACGTTTGGTAGCATATATATGTCCATGCCACTCTCTCACTTTGTCCCAGCTTACCCTTCCCACTCCCCATATCCTCAAGTCCATGCTCTAGTAGGTCTGTGTCTTTATTCCCGTCTTACCCCTAGGTTCTTCATGACCTTTTTTTTTTCCTTAGATTCCATATATATATGTGTTAGCATACGGTTTTGTTTTTTTTTTTGCGGTACGCGGGCCTCTCACTGTTGTGGCCTCTCCCATTGCGAAGCACAGGCTCCGGACGCACAGGCTCAGCGGCCATGGCTCACGGGCCCAGCCGCTCCGTGGCATGTGGGATCCTGCTAGACCAGGGCACGAACCCATGTCCCTGCATCGGCAGGCGGACTCTCAACCACTACGCCACTAGGGAAGCCCTCTGACTTACTTCTTAATGTTCTATTCACGTCAACAGATTGGACGAGGCTCGCCACCATTGGGGATGACAATCTTTCTTACTCAGTCTCCTGATTCAAATGCTAATCTCACCCAGAAACACCCTCATACACACTTGGAACAATGTTGAACTATCTGGCTCCTGTGGGCCAGTCAAGTTGACATACAATTAACCATGACAAACCTTTTATCTAGAGGTATGTAAGGAAATAACCAAGATACACTCTAATCCTACCATTTTTACAACATAATTTTGCAGTTTTGAATGAATGAAAGTTTTGTAGTCTTTATTATTAGTGCACCAGAACACACTAAAATGTCCGTATGCCATCACCATCAGCGAAGTAAAATACAACAATCCAGCCAACTAACATTTTATAGCTGTGATATCCACAGGAGGTGGTATTTAATGACTCAGTGAACCTGCCAGGAAATAAGAGATGTTTAAAATTATAAAGGGTTGCTATTGATTAGATTGAATGTTTGTCAGACTATTTAGCAAGGTAGACCACTAGTTTATAATATTCAAATTGAGGATATTTATATATTAATGAACAACATAGCAAAAAGCAGTGATTTCCTTTACTGGAAAGAATCGAGACCTTTTAAAATTAAGCTTTTTGGGGCTTCCCTGGTGGCACAGTGGTTGAGAGTCCGCCTGCCAGTGCAGGGGAGACGAGTTCGTGCCCCGGTCCGGGACGATCCCACATGCCGCGGAGCGGCTGGGCCCGTGAGCCATGGCCGCTGAGCCTGTGCGTCCGGAGCCTGTGCTCTGCAACGGGAGAGGCCACAACAGTGAGAGGCCCGCGTACCAAAAAATAAATAAATAATAAATAAATAAATAAAATTAAGCTTTTATGACTTAGTTATGTTCAAATATGTACATTCCCATTCAAAGCAGCACCTCTGGAGAAAAACGTACTGAACAATGCTGCTGTTGTTCAGAAGAGGTTCATATACCACACAAGGAAATACTTCTAGCTATTTAATTATTTTCTCCCACCTCTAAAACCAGCAGAATTTTTCCATGTAATTTCTTTTCTTACTTGTCTTGGTGCTAGTGACCTTTGGCCATTACTTGGTAGAAGGTTCACCCTTACTTAGGATGTCAAAATAATGAACCACAGCTTTGAAGGTAAACCAAGAGGAGTTCCAAGACAGGACTAAGCAGTAGCAGCACTACTGAACTATATATATGTGCAGCCCCATAACACTAACTTGAAGGCAGGTGGCGGGAAAGAAAGGAAATAGGGATGAGAATCTGAAAATGTTATTTTCAGCTATGCTGCTGACTTCCTGGCAGAATGGATGCTCCTTCTTTCCCTCCTCTCCTCCTCCTCCTTCTCGTTGTTTGACACCTGTGTGGTTCCAGCTGAATTAATTCAACTCTACCTCCAAGAGTATGTTCCCAACTCTACCTCCAAGAGTATGTTCCGCAGGACTCAAAGGCAGGTAATTCTAATTTCTCTGGTCAGAGTTCTTGTTTTTTTTTTTAAGACGATGTTGGGGGTAGGAGTTTATTAATTTATTTATTTTTGCTATGTTCGGTCTTCGTTTCTATGCGAGGGCTTTCTCTAGTTGTGGCAAACGGGGGCCACTCTTCATCGCGGTGCGCGGGCCTCTCACTATCGCGGCCTCTCTTGCTGCAGAGCACAAGCTCCAGACGCGCAGGCTCAGTAGTTGTGGCTCACAGGCCTAGTTGCTCCGCGGCATGTGGGATCCTCCCAGGCCAGGGCTCGAACCCATGTCCCCTGCATTAGCAGGCAGATTCTCAACCACTGCACCACCAGGGAAGCCCCAGAGTTCTTGTTGAAGCGATTGATAGTTAACCAGTTACCACGCCTAAGATAACAGGTACAGAGTTTTCGGTTGTTATTTTGTTTTACCAGATTTATTCCATCAGACTAAAGAGAAGGACTTTTACTCTATACTTAGGGGAAAGATAGGACAAAACACATTGCCCAGATTGGGACTGGCAGCTTTGTTGTGTAAGGACAAATACAAAATAAAAATAAGAAGCCTAAATTTTCCTGTTGAAAATAAGAGAAGTGACTTTTCTCCTTATTTCCCTGGAGCATTTACCTTAGGAAACTTGTAAGTTCTTTCTCTGCCTGTTTGAAAGTATGTAAATCCTTTTAAAAGCCAAATAAGACTTAGGCCGGCTTTGTGACCCCAGAATGTCTTTTTCAAGTACCTGAGAGCCATCTCTTTGATGGCTATCTCTCAATTTCTGTGTGAAGGTAGGAGGCTAATTTTGGCAGGGACACTCACTCTAAATAGCAAAATTACCTCTGGTCATAAAGATATGAGAATTTTACTGTTCCTTTGAATAAAGTCAATTAGCTAACACAGATGGTCACCCCCCATTACCAAGTGAATTTAGGATGAACTATATGTGACAAATTGTGCTGTTCTCTTACTTGACTAGTTATTTATCTTGAGAACATGTGTAATGGATTGTATCTTCTTGGCTATATAAAAGGGTGAGATTTCTGTTTGCCTTTGCAATCTCTTAGTGACTCTCTGTGGTGCATGTCACATTCTGGTATAATGCTTATTATATTTCCCCAATAGTTGTGACCATGAGGAAAGCCAATTTGAGGATAAAGCCAACATATAGAGGAAGACAGGGCTAAGAGAAGCACAGAAAAATGGAGCTAGTGCTTCTAATTAAATGAATGAAGACATTCCTTTAAGGACTTAAGCCAGGTGGAATTAGGTGTATTGTTACTCACAACTGAAAGCATTCTGAGCATTTCCCACACATATTTAACCCCTGGGATGAGAATCTAAAATGACTATGAACATCTTGTAGGACTAGTGTTTTACAGAACACTCTTGAAAAGTTAATTGTCTATTTATTTAACAATTTTAATCATCACAGAGCCTTTCCTTTGAGATATATCATCACTTATTTAACCAGTTTACTCTTTAGGACATTATTTACAGTTTCCACTATTATAATAAATGTACACTTTTTTTGTTTGTGTGCATTTCCATATGCCCATCAGTGACCATGTTCTCAGGATAAATTCCTAGAAATCCGTTTATTAGGTTTAAGGGTATACAGACTTTTATAGCTTATTGAATGTAAATTTTTGAAATATCAGGGAAAAAACTGGACTCTAGTACTAATTCTCATAACTGTATAATTCTTAAGCAACATGACTTAATGGCCTAATAAAAAACAATTAGGAATAAATGTCGACTATAGTAACATGATAACATAGATTTTGTTAGAATAAAAACAAAAGAATGAACAATGGAAAAATAAAGCATCAAATGATAATTTTAGCTCTTCTGCATATAAGGAAGACCGGGTTTACACTTTTACTGGTGATCCTTCCTAAGAGTAGCACATACTATTTGGCTAATAATATAATCTAATTCATTCACACCTGAGAAATTTTATTTTCACATATTCCTCTCAGAAGGAACTAAAATGAACTGGATCAGTGTAATGACAAGAAAAAGAAAACAAAAAAAATGCAAAGTTTTGATTCCAGATTAAAAGTAAAAATTGATACTTTTACCCATGTCTTCTTAAAATGATGTTCCAGTAATTTCAGTTTGCTTTAACCTAAAAACAATTTTTAAAAAGTGTGTTTCATTGTCTCACTATGACCATAAGTCATATTGGTGTAAATAGGATTGTTCCTTGTAGTTTGGGGAATGAATTTTGAAGTTTGAGCACAGCTGTAAGTAAGTTAATTATAATCTTTGTTGCACTTAACCATCACAACGTATACTTAAAGTTTGCAAAAATAGACTGAAACATCATCTCCTGCCAGAATGGGAATTTTTTACATCGTGCCAATTGAGCAGATGTGCTGAACATATGTAGATAGTCAATGGCTAAGAGTTTGGTGGCTGTCTATAGAAGCAAAGGTATCTTTGTCATGGGGATGTTAGTCTTTGGTTTTTTTGGTTAGGTCAACCTCTGTGCATTTGGTTTTCCTGAGTATATATAATGAGGATACTAAACCACAATTTCTGAGGCCTTTTTTTTGTCATTATATTTCCATTTGGTTCAGGTAACCAGAGGAGAGGTATATAAATTCTAACAATGACATATTAGGAAATATTCATATAGAAGATATAATCTGTGCTCAGTATTGAAAAATGTTTAAGGAAGGTTTTAACGGGCAGAGATACCAATGCATAACCCTTCAATGAGGAATAGATGGATGGAACTAACACAAGTGGAAATGCTACTTAAGTTGGGAAAAGACCAAATTATCTATATTGCTCTTGGTACGATTATGGATTATTTTAGTTTAAAGTTTCTCTCAACATTGTTTTCTAATTATTCCATGTAAATTAAGCCACTTAGAACTAGTGATGCTAATTTATTTATTTTGGTGCTGTATCATAGTCCATTGTATATATGTACTATGATTTAATTATCTATCCCTTTATTGACAGGTATTTGCATTATTTTCATTTTCCCCTATTACAAACAATGCTAGTGGATGTCTCTGTGCATATATCTTACATGAATATGTGAGAGTATGCTGAGAAATGGAACTGTTGGGCTGTAGGATATGCTTATTTTCAACTTGAGATATTGCCAAATTACCCTCCAAACCCAATTTATACTCCCACTAGCTGTGTATAAGATTTTCATTCCCATATCCTATCATTTGGAGTTAATATAATTTTTCCAATATAATGGATTTGAAATGACATCTCATCTTGTTTTGCATTTTCTTTTCTCCACCACTAATGATGTCTGTATCTGTCTTCTTTGTTTTCTTCCTTGAGTTAGTCATACCCATATCCTTTGTGCCTTTTCTATGGGATTATCATATTCTTATTGACTGATAGAGATTATTTGAATTTCTTCTATTGCCTGTAGTGCATGTTGGTTGTATTTTTCAGTTTATTTCTCAACTTTATGGTCCTTTTTACTGTAGCAGTTTTGTTTTCGAGGAAAACAAACTTTATGGTCCTTGTACTTTTATGGTCCTTTTTACTATAGCTGTTTTGTTTTCAAGGAAAACCTTTCCCGCCCAAATTTTATAATAGTATTTATTATAGTTTTAAAGTTTTTAAAAAATTTTCTTGTTTAGGTCTTTGTCATATACCTAGTAATTTTGTGCATGGTTTGACACAGGCATCTAATTTTATAATAGAAATGGATTGCTCTGACACTGTTTACTAAGAAGTAACTACTTTTCCCCTCTGATTTTTAACAGGCATCTAATTTTATAATAGAAATGGATTGCTCTGCCACTGTTTACTAAGAAGTAACTACTTTTCCCCTCTGATTTTTAATACCTTCTCTAGTATATGTAAAAGTCCCCAAAAGACTTTTTATTCTCTTATTCAGTGCTCTATGTTTTCCTATTGATCTATCTTTCCCTGAGCCAATAGCACACATTTTAATTACTATAGCTTTATAATGTCTCGATATCTGATTAAAGCAAGTCACTCCAACCTGTGCACCTTCAAAATATCATGCTTAATCTGGTCTTTAGCTCTTTCATGTAAATGTTAGAAATTGCTGGAGACATTACAAAGGATTTTGATTATAATTGCATTGAATTTTGTGATTACTTATGAAAAATATGACTGAAGATGTAAATTCCTTTCAAATTAAAGGTTGTCCATGTATCTTACCATTCAGACATTTTCAGGTTTATCCAGGTATAATTTAGAGTAAAATATACTCTTTAGCTGTGCAGTTCAATGAATTTTTGACAAATTTATCAAGTCACATAACCACTATCTCAGAATATAGAACATTTCCATCACTTCCAAAAGTTTGGGGCTAACCTGCTCCCCTACCACTATCTCCTGGTAACCACTGATCTAATGTCTGTCCCTATAGTTGTGCCTTTCTCGGACTATCAATCAATCATATAAATGGAATCATACTGTGTGTCTGACCTTCTTCAGGTAGCATAATGCTTTTAAGATATGTCCATGTCATTTTATGTAACAGTAAATTCACTTTTTAGTGCTGGGTGATATTCCATTGAATAGACATACCATATTGTTTCCAGTTTGAGTGATTATGTAAAAAAGCAGTCCTAAATATTCACTCACAGGTTTTGTGTGGACATATCTTTTCATTTTTCTTGGGTAAATACCTAGGTGTTGAATTTCTGGATCATACAGTAAGAGTACTTTTAACTTTATAAAAACATTCATATTCATGATACGTACTTTCCAGATTTTTCCTTTATTTTATAATATCTTTATTAAAATAATGTTTTCATTCCAGAATATGCCCCCTCAACATACTGTATTAGGTATTTGGCAATATGTTAACAAGATGCATTGGCTTTAATTTCTATATAGCATCTGTCATTTTATCTCAGATAATGCCAGGAGATTTGCGTTAGATGAAAAGTACTTAATGTTTAGCATTTCTAGATTTAAATCTTAGCCTTGCACTTCTCATCTGTGTGCTTTTGAGTGATTCATTTTAACTT